AGATTCTTAACTTCTTACTAAAATATTGTAGAGATATCGTCCTTAGGCTCATAAAAATGGCCTCAATGAATAGGTTATTGTGTTGGAGGTTTTTCAATTTTTTATTTAAGAGTTATTGTTGATATATTTTTTAATACCACTGAAATATCACTATTTATATATTTTAACTAACATGCACTTAATCCACATAATGTATTACTATCGCCCGTGGTTCTACTTTTCTCGAATGATATATCAATAAGAGTAGCCGATGCTACGCAGATGATAAATAGCTGACAATATAGATTTCTATTAGTGTAAGAATTTGTAGAATCGGTTTGGTCGTTCTAGATATTATTGCAAATAAACAAACAAATAAAAAGTTTAATATACAATATATATGTGCATACATATGTACATAACACATTTCATTCCATTCTAGAAATATTATAGTTTTGTTATTTTCAATTGGTTGTGTACTTTTCAAGGTCTCCCAAATGCTTGGATGCATTTTCAATTTTATTTCGACGGGATGTAGATACTTTAGTTGAGAAATCTGCTACGCTTTTTGGTTTTATGAAACTTTTGTATTATGATTTCATATTTACTGGTTAATGTACATATAATTATAATTTGTCTAAGATCCGATGTAAGGTCGTTAATCTACTTATCAGTTAAAAAAATTGTATGTATACATATGTGCATAATTTGTAGGTTGCTTTAATATAATATGGTTAATTAGCTAAAAATAATATAAAGATTGGTTTACACGTTTCCTTTGTTGTCGTTGAGACTTCCAATATCACACCGTAATCGTACGCGCGGTCTTCAATACACTCATATATACTATTTTGAAATGTCAAAGACATCTCTGATTTATGGCCAATTTTTATAATGAACTTACCTGCTGAAAATAAATTTAATATTATTAAACAACTCGCTTTGCCCGCGGCTACGCCCGCGTTCAGGTGACCAAAAACCAAATTCTTAGGTTTTATATATTAGTATACTCTTACATTCCAGTTTTTGTATTTTTCTCAGTAATGAGATATTTTCCCAGGGTAAAAAGTATCCTATATGTTGACCCGGATAACCAGCTATCACCATACCAAATTTCATTAAAATCCCTCCAGTGATTTTTCCGTGATGCGGTAACAGACAGACAGACAGACAGGCAGAAAAAATTCTAAAAACTATAGATTCGGCCTCTGTATCGATAACAATGTCTATTTCAATAAGATTTTCCAAAAAATATTTAATGTACAGATTCGGCTTTGTTACAATTTTATTATGTGTATAGATAATTTCTTTTCTTTAAAAGTCAGCCTTGGCCATATTTCATTGGGAAATTAATTTGCGATATAAAAGCACAATTGGTAGGTAGCAATAGTGGTGACTCTCCATGTTTTTATGTGCAAATCTTTCTCATTATGATTAATTTCTACTTGCGTTACGGCGAAGGAAAACGTCGTGACGAAATATATGTCTGAGAGAGTTCAACGAGATTTTGAAATATGTCATATGAAATCTAAACTACGGTCCCTCGCACTGAGGGGAAGCTCATGCCCATCAATAGAATGTTAAAATGGCTGGATTATTATTTATTGCTACTATTATATTTGTTCTACAAGATAATAAAATAATAATCTAACAACGAAATTATTTCGAATCTTCTACTACATACGAATATAGTAATAACGTTTTTGACGACACGTTTAGCTCAGTTTGTAGTGACACTACTTGCTGTGCCAGCGGTCACGAGTTTGAGTCCCGCTGAGGGCATTCATTTGTGTAATCAGCACGAATGTTTGTACTCCAGTCATAGGTGTATATATTTATAATATGTATGTATTTATATTTATATATGTGTAGTGTATCAACTATCTGATATCCATAACACGAGCCTCGTAGCTTACCATGGAACTAGATGGTGATGCGTGTCCTAACATATTTATTTATAATAACTGTAGGTACTTTATAAATAAGTTTGTATTAAATAACCAAAATTAAGTGTCAGTGATAACTGTCGCATTATATTTTTAATGTTTGTACAAGTATTGTGATAGCTGAAATTGGCAGATATATTTCACTTTGAATAAAATTATAATTTATGATCTATTTATGAATTATTTACATCTTAGGAAAATGCATATTTAAAATCTGTAATGTATAATCGGACTGCTATTATAAATGCGAAAATTTATATGTATGTTTGTATCATTGTTACTTTTTCAGGTTAATACCAGCCGTATTAGATAGATTTTGACGAAATTTAGTACACAGATCTTACTATGATCTGAAACCAACCGAAGGCTATTTATAGGCATCTAGGACGTGAGCAGAGCAAGGCTTAGTTCTAGTAGATCTATAGTTTGTTAGTAAGTAATAAAATCTTAAAGATACTTTTTTCGTCTCAATCACCAGTATGGCATAGACGTAGATAGAGGGTTAATAAATTGGGTACGAAATTTTTGTGAAAGTTTTTCAGAAATATGATAATCGATGTTTAAATTTCCAATAGATAATCGGGTCAAGTTCGCGTTTGTTATTAATAAAAGACGAAAATCTAATTATGTGACCACAAGTTACGTACAAATAATTGGTCCGCGTATATCAACAAGTTAAAACCGGCTCTTAAAGGTAGTGTTTATGATGGTATCGTTACGTAAGCCAGGACCAGTTTTCATTCAGCTGACAGGATCGTGCTTATTGCACATAACACAAATAACTTACGTTTAGTATAACTAAATAAACTAATTATACGCCCATGTTAGAACGATTCGAGGTAACTTGTGAAAGCATCGTTTACAGTGTTATTCATTGTTTTTTTTTAATATCTTTAGCTATCTATATAGTAAAGGAAAATATTATATTCCTCAAATAATAGACTATTCAGATGCTGTATCGAGTCTCGAGCTAAGTCTAGTAATTGAGTTGTTCTATGACCTAGCGTCAGTTGCAGCCCAGAATCATTAGACTTAAGAGAGTGTAAAGAAAAAAAGTCAGGAGCTTTTTTTATTATTATTATAGTAGCGATTTACCCTCGCCTTGCTCCGGTGCGGCCTTAGGTACATTTTTTTTTTAGCGGAAGCCTAATCTCTTTCTCGAATAAAAGTAGCCTAAGTTATCCCTTATAACACCAGCTATCTGCCAGTGAGAGTCCCATCAAAATTAGTCCAGCCATTTTGGATATTAGCCGGAACAAATAGATAGACAGACAAAAGCTTTAAAAATTGTGTTTTTCTTATAAGTACCGTACATAATTTCATACGTATTTAGTAAAAAGCTGTTATTTTGACATTACAGACACATCAATTCGTATATGTATAGATAAAGAAAAAGTGAGAAAGTGCGTTTATTAGTTTATTCTTTTTTCGTGCAGTAATGTGATTTTACGCATAGTGATACTTTTCATCCCGAAAATTATATGATAAAGGTAATTAGGTATTTAGTGCATAAAGCATCTATCAAATATCATACGCGTCTGGGATGCAAGAGTGGACCACAATATTTTATAATTTGAACAACTAGCAGAACAGTCCGCTCCGCTCGCGCTCAAACTACAAAAAATCTCTAGACAGGTTTCATACAAACTTTCCCGCCCTATTTTACCCCCTTATAGGATGAATTACGAAAAATGCTTAAACACGTATTTATTTGATTATATTGAAGAACATTAATACTAAGTTTCAAGTAATTCTGATCACAAATGTTTTTTGGGTGGCATTATAACGTGTTTTCCCGTGGGAATGAGATAATCTCCTGCGGTAAAAAGTAGCCTATGTCACTCTCCAGCCCTCCAACTAGATAGTTGGAGGGCCCACACAAAAAATCACGCCAATCCATCATTCCGTTTCGACGTGAAAGTAGGACAAACAAACAAACACACTTTCCTATTTATAATATTAGTATGGATTTATATTGTTATGTAGTAATTTGAGTGTAAGCTATTTTAATAGATAAAAATTAAATATTATTAGAATGAAATATGTATTGAAATCTAGGTTACCCGTGCATGACGTGTTCCTTCCCTGTGTTCTGGTCGTAGAAAATTGATACTCGGTTATACCAAGGTTATTGATACCAGTATAGGTAATATATAATATGTACAATAATAATCCAGCATCCTTCTTGAATTACTAGGAAATGATATGGTAAGCATCAAGAACATAAAATATAAACACACAACAACAAATAATAAAAAACATAAAATGATAATCAAATAGGTTGTCAATCTTTTATTTAATCAAGTATAAAGTTAAATAATGATGAAGAAACAACGTATGGAGGAAAAATATTATCCTTGGGATATATATATATAAAAATATTATACTAGCATTGCCCGCGGCTCCGTCCGCGTCCAGATGACCAAAAATCAAATTCTTAGGTTTTACATATTAGATTACAGAAATGAGATATTTTCCCGCGGTAAAAATTATCCTGTATGTTAACCCGGATAACCAGCTATCACCGTGCCAAATTCCATCGAAATCCCTCCAGTGGTTTTTCTGTGATGCGGTAACAGACAGACAGATAGACAAAAAATCTAAAAACTATAGATTCGGCCTCTGTATTGATAATAATGTTTGTTTCAAAAGATTTTCCAAAAAATATTTAATGTACAGATTCGGCTTAGTTGCAATTTTATTATATGTATAGATAATGTTAATTATTATTAATGATAAGTATTAATTATCTTTTCAGCTCCCTACATTAAAATATGCCAACGAAATGATCCAAATGTGGACAAGTGTATCATCAACTCTATAGAAGAACTTCGGCCAAAGATGAAAGAGGTAAAGTTTTTATATTAATTTTTTCTTCATTAAAAATAATTAATCAAGAAAAATAATATACAAAAGGCAAGTACGTACAATATATATACGTATAATAAATTCAGTTTGATCTATGGGGTTTACGTAAACAGTAATTTGATAAATCTGACCTTAGTTGTCCGTCTTAGTGGGTGGAACTGACGGTACCTGAGGTGTTGATGGATCTTCAGGTGATGGTGGATCCTAAGGTGATGGTGGATCCTGAGGTGATGGTGGATCCTGAGGTGATGGTGGCTCCTGAGGTACTTTCGATGCTTCAGGTGTCAATGGTGGCGAGGCTGCTTGAGGTTCCGTGGGCGCTTGAGATGCTTGAGGTGCTGGAGGTGCTTGTGGTGCTGTAGGTGCTTGTGACGTTGGAGGTGCTGTAGGTGTTTCAGGCGCTGTAGATGCTTCAGGTGCTGTAGGTAATTGAGGGGACGATGGCTCTTGAGGTACTGATCCTTGATCAGTTAAAGGTTCCTGAGGTTTTGATGGTGCTTGAGGATTTAATGGTTTCTGAGATGAAGTAGGTGTCTTAGTTTCCGATGGTACTTCTGGTGCCGTTGGTTGTTGTGGTGTTTTTTTAGGATTATTTGAAGCATCAGCTGTGGCACTTGATAAAGATTGTGAATTATCTTCCACATAAATATCTTGAGTATTACCCTTTGTACCATCATTTGTTGGACTATTTTCATTGAATGCAGCAATTAAATCATGATGGGTAACTGCAGAGGAAGCAGCACTAGTTGCAGACGATCCTTTATCTCCTTCAGCCGCCGCTTTGCTTGTGCTCGAAGCTGACGTTTCATCTTCTAAAACGATTACTGTACCATCTTTTCCTGCGTTTTTACCTTTATCAGGTTGTCCCGATGAATCAGATTTTGATCCCTTAATATCTATTACAATATTAGTTTTTATAGCTGAAGGAGGCCTTATAGATGTTGGGTTTGGATTAAAGTTGTTACATTTTTGACACTTATTTTTTTGACATGTGAAGCATTGAGGCCCATTCGGATTGTTACTTTGAGCGTATGGATACGGAACAAACTGAACAGGATCGATTTCAGATGGATATTTAATTGTGACGTTTGTGTGTTGTGGTATCCGTACCTCCAATACGGTACTTCGTCCTTTGCAAACACCGGCTTGTATGATTTTGTTCTGAAATTAAAGATTGATTAAATATTAAGCAAGCCTATACCCATTTCCTTAGTATTGGTTTGTGTAACAAAAATATTTTTTTCTTTTATCTTAAATAGCAAAAAAAAATTTCATTTTGTAGTTATTAATGATGTAATTATTTTTGTGTATTTTAATATTTAAATAAAATTTGAAAGTTACCTCAAATACCAGCGCAAGCGCAACTAGTAGCACCACTTTAAAGAACCCCATATTTGACTGACTTCCCAATAAAATGTTGCACAAGCCTTATATACATAACACACTAAGATAGAAATATCAGTCCTTTGTCATAAAAACTGATTCATTCGTTAATAATAATTTATCAAAATCTTTGAAGGCACGTATTTTTTTACTTACGAACATTTGCGTTATCTTGTCAGGTGCTACAATTAAGTGGTAATAGACTATTTAGCATTAGTTACATTTTAAATTAGATAATTTGTGAAGTGTTTTGTAGCGTATTACGTAAAAAAATATATTAGTTGTTCTTGTTAAGTTAGATGATCAAAGTTAGAATTAAATTGAAATCCTAATATGATGTGATTAATTTCTTAGATATACGCGAATATTTGCCATTTTAAATAAAACTATCTTTTTGGGAGAGACTCTCCCGTCACTATTATTGCTGTAAAGCATTCGAAACGTCGGGAACCAAATATCAAAATAAATCTGCCAAAAAATCCGAAAAGATAGTTATAATTAAAATGATTATTTTATATCAAGTGATGAAGTTCAGTGAGTACTGTTAATTCCCACAGTCATATGGTATTATTTATTATATCTTTTATTTTGATGTTTTGTGTAAAAATATCTTGCTGTTTTTTTATTTACCTAAATGATAAGATGATGATGATATTATGAAAAATATAAAAATAAATAAAATATAAATCATATTTTATTATTTTTTATCAGTAATATATAAAAAAATTAAAATACATGCAGTATTTAGAAAAAAAAATTACTTTTCCAATTAAAGCAAATATACTGGCTAAGTATCATTAGAGCATCCTGATATAGCACGTCTTATAGTAACATATATTTTTTATTTACGTAATTTTTTTAAGTTTAAAAATGAGTAAATCAGTAAAATAAGTTAAACGTATTTTCAACCGACTTCAAAAAGGAGGAGGTCCTCAATTCGACTGTATTTTTTTTTATGTTTGTTACCTCAGAACTCCGTCATTTATTAACCGATTTGGACAATTTTTGTGTTGTTTGAAAGTGTATACTTCCAGATTGGTCCCATTTAAATTTCAAAAAAAATACCACCCCTAAGGGTGGAAAAATAGCTAATGATGAATTTAACCTACTTCTAATTGTCATATTGACTTGAAACTTTGCAAGTGTTTCTATTTCTGTTGATAGTACAGTGGTTTGGTATTGTTGACCTGATCTGATGGTAAGGCCAGAAGGTGGATAGGTGGAACTCATCAACGGCTAATAGTAGATACTTTGAGTTTGGGCTTATTTTGTTTGATTTGACAAGCTTAACACGTTATAATTTTTACTTTGCTACTACTGTCTACACTAAAAAGGGAAAAATAAAAACTTTTTAATAAAAAAATAAAAACCGACTTCAAACAAAAGCACTAAAAAGTAAAAAATAACTAATTGGTAGTTTTCATTTACTATACATACCTAATCAAATATTTTCGAAGTCGGTGTGCTTTGGCTAAGTAATTAAAGCCTACCTATCAAATACATACCTAATCAAATATTTTCGAAATCGGTGCCAACCCATACAAAGCAAAGCACACCGACTTCGAAAATATTTGATTAGGTATGTATAGTAAATGAAAACTACCAATCAGTTATTTTTTACTTTTTAGTGCTTTTGTTTGAAGTCGGTTTTTATTTTTTTGTAATAAAGTTTTTATAGTTGTAGAGTATCGAAAGGAAAGATAGAGATAGAGATTTTGAATAGAAATATACCTTTATTATTGTATACTCCTACTTATAACATAATTAGCTTGTTCTGTTGTACGGTTTTTATTTGTATTTTTTAAGGTATACTATCTCCATTTATTGCATGTATGTATGTTGGTACGTCTGTTTGAAACGTATTCGTTCTTATAACAATCTTCTTATTACGATGAAGTTTTAGTGAGTTGTTGTATGTGCGACCGAGAAGATGTCTCACATATAATTCTAAATGACATAATTTTTGTATATATATACTGGCAGAACCCGCGGCTTCGCTCGCGTTAAAATTACAAAAAATCTCTATAAAGGTAATTCCATACAAATTTTCATCCCCTATTTTACCCCCTTATAGGATGAATTTTCAAAATTGCTAAAACACGTATTTATTTAATGTTATTGAAGAGCAATAATGCCAAGTTTCAAGTGATTGTGATCTTAAATATTTTTTTGGAATTCTATTATAACGTGTTTTCCCGTGGGAATTAGATAATCTCCCGCGGTAAAAAGTAGCCTATGACATTTGCCAGCCCTCCAACTATCTCCAAACAAAAAATCACGCTAATCTGTCACTCCGTTTTGACGTGAAAGAAGGACAAACAATCAAACAAACACACTTTCACATTTATAATATTAGTCATATATATATATATATATATATATATATATATATATATATATATATATATATATATATTATATGTATGTATAATAATATTTTATATATAAATTTATTTCGTGTATCTCGGAAACGACTCTAACCATTTGGATCAGATTTTGTGTTTAGATAAGGTTTTCCTTTTTCAACCGACTTCAAAAAGGAGGAGGTTCTCAATTCTTTGCTTTGTATGGGCTGGCACTGATTTCGAAAATATTTGATTAGGTATGTATTTAATAGGTAGGCTTTAATTACTTAGCCAAAGCACACCGACTTCGAAAATATTTGATTAGGTATGTATAGTAAATGAAAACTACCAATCAGTTATTTTTTACTTTTTAGTGCTTTTGTTTGAAGTCGGTTTTTATTTTTTTGTTAAAAAGTTTTTTAACTTTATCTATGTAGGTGTCTTTTCCGAAAAAAAACGCGGTCACCCAAATACTTACTATTAATATGAGATAGTTAACGTGCGACTCGTATTTCCAGTTAGGAATTTGGGTGTGTTAGTATTTAATATACGAGTGAAATATAGACGAACTGCTAATTCGTCACATTTTTTGTGAGTATATGTTTACCTTAACGCAGTGACGGATTTAAATGAAATTTAGTATACAAATAGACACATACATCTAGGCTTCTGTTGGTAATAAAATTAGCCAAAAGGTTATATACCTATAATATTATGAATAGTAAATGCACCCAAAGATGTACCCTTGCACAATGCTTTTAAATCGCGAGTATAAAATCGCTGATATAAATTGCATGAAAATAAGCTATTTTTATAATTGAGATCCATTCGCTTATAATATAATGATACTAGCGACTCACCCTCGCTCCGCTCGGGTTCGTCCCTTGGGTGGGGTCTGGGACCACCCTTATCCTTATCACTTAGGGGTATGGAAAATAGATAGTAGCCGATTCTCAGACCTACTGAATTCGCATATAAAATTTGGTAAAAATCGGTAAAGCCGTTTCGGAGGAGTACGGTAACAAACATTGTGACATGGAAATTTTATATATAAGATTTTACGAAAAAAAACGAAATTTTACACTCTATTTTCTAACAATTAGAAAATCCATAATTTAAGGTCACAAACCTCAGTTCAACGATACTTTCGATAACTGACCTGCTATCGGAAAAATAATAAATGCTTTTAAACAAATTGGAAAGTGTGTCAAGGTTAGTGTGTTTCATAACTCAAATACACTAAGATGACAAGTGCAAATGTAAACACTAAATTGCATCTATTTATTAGGCAAATTAAGTTAGGTTAAGTCTCAAAAGAGCCCACTCGAAAGTGTGTGCAATTTGTCAGAGTGGAGTGTTAATCAGCGTCTGGCAAATTATGCCTGGCGTGAAGCCAAGAAATGCACTTGGGAGGCCTCGGTAGGCGTAGTACCATACAGGTTGCTTTTGGTACTTTTCTAATAAGAAAGTGGATCGTGGAGCGACCCTTTGGTTTTTGTGGTCTGAGTTATGGCTAAGCGCTAATATAGAGCATAATCGATCTTGCAGCACCCCATGACGGACACCGTCTTCATGGGGCGCATTATTTTATCGATAAGTATCGATATGGTTTACCACCCACCCAAGGTTTACCCACTAAAAAGATTGGATTTTAGGGGGTAAAACTGGCTTTTCTAATCAGTGAGTCCCCATATAACTCTCTTTTTATATACAGATGGTATGGTAAATGACTTTTTTAAAGTTAAAAAAGTAAAAAAGTCTTAGGTTTTATCATGAATAAGTTTTCACATATCCTTTCTGGGGATCCAGAAAGAATAGAATGCAAGTGCTATAGTATATGGTATACCGACTTGTGATTTTTTATTAAAACAAAAATAAAAAAAAACGGGAAAGTGCGCGTCTAACTAGCACATAAATGGTTCCACAGCACAAAACATTAAATTAGTGTTCTGTTTTAGCACTTCAAAAAAAAAAGTACTTTGTGGTATTTTTTTACTTACTAAACACCAGCCTTGGAGAAAAATATGCTAATTAATGTTTTTAAAGAAATATTTAAATGAATTTAGAACAGGTAATTTCTTCATCGTGGATAGTGCATCTGAGGAGATGTCGCAAGAGATGTTATGCTTTTAATCATTATCTAGAAGTTATGTTTTAATTAACTTATTAGCAAAGCGCCTTCATAATCTTCAGATTCGGTTTTATAGGATTCTGTTCGTGGGTAAATAAATATGTTGCGACATTAACACACAGCAGCATCTAGTTCCATGGAAAGCTACGAGGCTTGTGTTATGGATACCAGATAGTTGATACACTACACATATGACTAGATTACAAACATTAGTGCTCATCACAATAATGAATGCCCCCAGCGGGACCCGATCCCCCGACCTTTGGCACAGCAAGTAGGGTCATTACAAACTGAGCCAAATGTGTGTATTATTTAGTCTGTCTTTAGATAAAAAGTAGTTGTTAATTTATATATTTATTTATTTCAGGGAATCCCCGAACTTGATGTGCCAGGTATTGAACCCTTAAGTCTAGGTCAGATTGGACTCGCGAGAGGTCCTCAAGGTGCTAAGCTAACAGCTGTCGTCAACGATGTCAAAGTCCGTGGACCTAGTAACTTCATTATACAAGAATTGAAGTAAGTGATCGCAAAAAATATTTCAAGTATCATTGATATTGTTATTAGAGTAGTAGGATTTTTAAAAATATATGTTAAATTTAATGGTAACTTATACTTTTTTTAGAGACACATAATGCATAGGGTGACGGACTTATCCATTCCTTAATTATTATTCCATGAAATCACTATGCGAATGGCGGCTTCATCGTATTGCAGATTATTGATGATCCATGTGTAGTTTTAAGAAATTACTCTGACTGCCGCTTTAGATACTTGATCGAAAAATGAAATAAAATGGAAAGCGGCTAACATTCTTGCCACAACTACGCGATTATTTAACGTCTATACATATATTAAAATTCTTACTAAGCCGATGTACATTAAATATTTTTTGAAAAATCTTATTAAAATAGACAGTATTTCGATACAGAGGCCGAGTCAATAGTTTGTAGAATTTTTGTCTGTCTGTCTGTTACCGCATCACGAAAAAACCACTGGAGGGATTTTGATGAAATTTGGTATGGTGATAGCTGATTATCGGGGTCAACATATAGGATACTTTTTACCGCGGGAAAATATCTCATTTCTGATAAAAAATACAAAAACTGCAATGTAAGAGTATACTAATATGTAAAACCTAAGAATTTGGTTTTTGGTCATCTGAACGCGGGCGGAGCCGCGGGCAATGCTAGTTTTAAATAAAACTATCTTTTCGGGTTTTGATTTGGTTGATTTTTGGTTCCCGACGTTTCGAATGCTTTAAAGCCATCACAGTCACGGGAGAGACCATATTATTACCATTCTCTTATGTATTGTATTGTATTTTTACGAACGCTTGTCGTAGTTGTCAGAATATTACTCTTTATACTGGAAGTCTTAGATTCTTTAGCTTGGCCATAAAAGTATTTGTCACATGCTTAATTAATATATATATTAGATATATATTGAGTACCTTGAGTACCTTTATATAGGATATGAAAATATAATTAAATAGCTCTAAAAAGCAACTCAATTCACATCTGAAATATTATTACATACAAGTTAAAAACATTTAATATATAATATAAAAAATATATTCTTACAATAAAATCATTTAAATCTGTAATCATATTTTTTTTATTATTAGCATATATGTGTATATGGTAAGTCAGGGAGAGTTTCCTATAGTTTTAAAAAAAGATCAATATTAATTATATATATAAGATACTACATAAAATACGCACAGTTTATTTAAATGTTTATTTATGCCATTCGGATTAAATTTGGAACTACTGTGCAGTATATTTTAGATGAAAAAATGATTTTTGAAAATAATAGAAACTAAGCATCTCACCCAGACATATGGGTTATAGATGCCTATAGATGCTCACGAGTAATTATTCCTACTAATATTCCTACTAATTATTCCTAGAAGGTCAGAAAAAAAATAAAGACAGACAATTGACAGGAACAACAAACTGACCCAACCACAAAGTGGTCACCCATCCAAGATCGTTTAAAGGCACCGTCGCTTGACTCTAGTACCTACTTAATTATGCTTACTTAAGTGTACATACTTAATAATAATCAACTCTTATTGCTTGATTTCAGATCGGACCTAAATAAAAACAGGTTTGATTTCAAACTATTACTACCGAGGCTAGATTTCGCTGGCAAATACAAAATGGACATCCAAGTGTTGTTACTGCGGTTGCAGGGTCGAGGAAATATTACTGGATCATTTAGTAAGTATATTGTAATCATTACTCAATATAATATTTGTTTGTTAGTTCGTTTGTTCCATTCAGACAGGAATAAAATGCTAGAGTATGAGCTATAGACTGAAGTGTTTTTTTTACATAAAGTATTTATTATATATGTATATAAAATTTGTAGCCATGAAATTAGTTTATTATGAAACCTTGCCTAGAGACGTGGGTCATTTTTATTCTTTTAAATATATAAAAATATATACTCTAATTAAAAACGTTAGGTATAGTCTAGCTAGTTTTTTTGTTATCGATTTAGAAAAATATGTAAGTAGAAATTGTTACATGCTCAATCGAAAACAAAGTCGCAAAATGAAACCCTTCATTTAATGACAAAAGTTAGTATAACAGATTATATGATAGCATAAAGAGTTTTAATTTAACTATATAGTAAGGAATATAAAAGATTTTTTACTAAATTTTTACTCAAAATATAATAAAATGGTTGTTTTTTAGTAACATTTAACTAATACATGTAAAATGAAGTAGTTACACGACGACCGATACGAACCTTTTAACCCACTTGCACGATGCACGTCGTAACAGCAAAAACGTTAAACCACTGCGTAACACTCGATTAACACACATGTTGTCATACACTGAAACTATTGTTATTAATTTCTTGTACAATATTCAGTTGTTGTACCTTAGCATGTTATATTTCTGTAAAAGTAAAAATAGAGTAAATAATTTATATATAACTAGCGACTCACCCTCGCTCCGCTCGATACGTTTTGCCGATTAGTATAAATTTCTCAGAGATATTTTCCCACATTAAAAATTATCCTATATTTTGATCCGAATAAAAAGCTATCATCATAACAAATTTCATCTAAATCTGTCCAGCACTGTTCTCGTGATGTGTTCCCAGATAGACAACAGACAAAAATTCTAAATCCTATAGATTTGGCCTCTGTATCGATAACAATGCCTATTTCAATAAGGTTTTTCAAAAAAAACTAATTTAGAGATTCGACTAAGTTAGAATTTTATTATGTTTATAGATTTTAAAATACTATAAAAGCACGCTTCTGCCTATGAGATATATCAAAATGAATGAAATGAGCCAAAATTTGAGGCTTCCTAGCTAAGCTCTATCATCAGATTAGCAAATATGTAAAAAAATGTTTATTTTTTAAATTAGTGTTTAAGGATAATTTTTTTTTTACTTGTACAAATCAATTTCATACGGTTGGGTGAAGTACTGTACTCCTTGCTAGGTTATAAAAATAATCTGTATTAAGGAGTAACTAATAATGCGAACTATGTTACATATTCTAATATAGTAATTTACCTATAATTGAGGGTAATCGTAAATAACAGCAAGGTTAATTCTCACCTTTAGGAAAAGTGAAATATGGTCGTTGGTATTCAATTTGGAATTTCTAATACTAGCGTGATATGACGACACGTTTGGCTCAGTTTGTAGTGACCCTATTTGCTATGCCAGCGGTTGCGGGTTTAAATCCCGCTGGGGGCATTCATTTGTGTGATAAATACCAATGTTTGTACTCCAGTCATGGGTGTTTATATTTATAATATGTATGTATTTAAAGTTATATATGTGTAGGGCATCAACTGTCTGGTATCCATAACACAAGCCCCGTAGCTTACCATGGAACTATATAGTGCTGTGTGTTAATGTCCCAACATATTAAAAATATATTATATTACAGAGGATTACGCCTGCAATGTGACGATGCGTGGACATAAGGAGACGCGAGGAGATGAAGAATATTTGAATTTTGAACCTATGAAAGTAAAGTTGCGCGTCGGAGAATCTTCCATTTACTTGACCAACCTCTTTGATGGAGACCCAGTTCTTGGCCCAGCCACCAACAGGGTTATCAATGAAAATTCCCAAGTATTCTTGCAAGAAATAAGTCCTGTGCTGGAGAAGAGTTTAGCAGATCTGTTCACGGAGATGGCTAATAAAATAACGTCTAAATTTACATACAAAGAACTGTTTCCTTAAGTAGTGTGGGGTGGTGGTCATCAATGTGATATTATGTTTTAGTGATTAGTGATTAAATTGGAACATTGAGGTTTTGATTTGGTTAAATAATTAGTTTTGCTTTAACCATAGTTACTTGAGAACTATTAATATAGGTACCGGTGTGACCCCTTTATTGTGTTCTTTTTTCAGCGATTTTACGGTTGGTTTGTTTCTTTGGTAATTCTAAAACTAAGGATTTAAGTAGCTTTTACTATATTTTTTAAAATTCTCCTTGTAAAATATTTTAGTTTTTATAATTATTTTTAAGTATAAATACTATATTTAATACATATGTACATATAAGCGCTATGTAGTACCTATATCCATATACTTATAATGAAATGCTACCTTCATTGCAATATAATATTTTGTTTTGTCAAAAAAAAATGAAAAAGCAAATTCTGTAAGCATATGAAAAAATAAATATGAAAAGATGAAGTGAGGGGATATTGTTGTTTAATATAATGCAAATCAGTGGTCATATCCCAAAAAAAAAAACTATACTTTTTATCCTAAGAAATATTTTCGTCATTATTATGATTTATATATTAAATACTATATGAATTTTAAAGTGAAATAACATAAACACCGCTAGCGCGTTTACATATTATAAAGAAACTTGAAATCCAATATACGATGTACATACGTCTTTAGAAACTCATTCATATACAGTACGTATGTTCTCAAGGAATATAAAAATAATAATAAAGAGGTCACTGATTTGTAATTAAATTTTTAATAAATTCATTTATTTTACATTTCTAGAAGCGTCAAGTTGTAAAATGTCTTCTGTTCTTTAGTCTTTTGTATGAATAACTACCAATCTTCATGTCTTCTCCATTCTAAAGTAATCTGGGCTCAACTGCCACGCTTTGAAGCCATTTACTTACTTTATTTGAATTGAATTGAATCAATTACAGGACACTTACTTTACTTCTGTATTTCATAGTTCTAACACAGTTCAATTCAATTCAAATATGTATGTTATCTGTAATATATTACTAAAGGTTTTAAATAGAGATTTGCCGAATGTTCGGTCGAGTAGGTACTCGTATTCGGTATCTTTGGCGATTTTTTTGTTCGTATTCCGTATCCGAATATTCGGTCCTGTATATTTCGGACCGATAATTCAGTCGAATGTTTACTGTCAATTAAATCCAGATCCTGAGCATCTCTAGTTTTAAACAATTATTGTATTATTATAAAATTAGAAATATTGAATTTCCATGACGATGATTTCATTGTTTATATATTATAAAATTATTTTATTTTTTATCAATATAAAAGTGTATTCTTATATTATTATATGTACATATATTGATGAAATATTTATAAATTTGTATATTTTTATATAATACATGATTTTAAAAATGATTATAAATAGTTTTTATTTTCAATTAAATTGGCTTTGACAGTTCTTAAAATATCCCATTCAAGTATCTGAACTCAGAACAGAGGTCCTATATAATTGAGATTAGCTTATAATGTTACAATATATTAATATTTTTGTTATTTTTCATAAAATCTATATTTTTTACCAATTTTGTTGATAATATTGGATGAAGTCTTAGGCACAATAGATTAAGTTTTTTTTAAATCTTTCTAAAATCCATTTTAGATTTATTAATAAGAAAATAAATATCCGTTTGTGCAGAACCACAAAACTCCTAAGTTCTTAATTATTTGAATTGCTTTGAAATATGCATTCAGGAGTTTTTACATAGAGATTAGACATGTTTTTTACATTTTATGACGACGATGACGACACGTATGGCTCAGTTTGTAGTAACTCTACTTGCTATGCGAGCGGTCGCGGGCTCGAATCCCGCTGGGGGCATTCATTTGTGTGATGAGCACGAATATTTGTACTCCAGCCGTGGGTGTTTATATTTATATTATGTATATTGTATATATTTAAATTTATATATGTGTAGTGTATCAACTGTCTGGTATCCATAACACAAGCCTCGTCGCTTACCATGGAACTAGATGGTGTTGTGTCGACATTTTACTATTATTGGTGTATGATATTTGATGATCGCTATGAAAATTGTTAGGTACATACATATATAGGTATTTGAATACAGAGAATATAGTTATTCTTCAACGCGAACAAACCCGCGATCAAAATCTTATTTATATGTATAAATATATTTGTCAGTTTTATTTCAATTAAAAAAGGTTTTAGTAGTAGTATTTTTAAGTAGTATTTTTTACAAAGCAGTTATAATAAACTTATGTAACGGAATTTGATGATGATAAGGCTCCATCTATTTTAAAGTGCATGTACTATTCACTAAGTTTTGTGTTGTGTTATTATAACGCCACCTATAAATCACAATAACTTTACTAATATAGATATGGGTTGTAGGAGCATAATTTTGTAGCTGTTTCTTAACCGACTTTTAAAAGAAAAACTTCCGAGCACTAAAAAGTAAAAAAAAACTGAACTGGGGTTTTCATTTACTAGCGGCATAGTGCCTCGGGCGCATCATCAGCGTGGTCGGCTAAGGATGTCGAGGGGTGTACACCGGTTTTACCATCGTGAGAGTGCTCGCGAGCGGGCTTACCCTTTATTATGCAGATTGGAACTTCTACCCTTTTGGGCACTTGGGTCTAGCGCTGCACTCTGAACGGCCAATGAAGGCAAGCCTGAGACGAGGGAGATGTTGTTTTCCCGTGTGTTGATTCCCAGTGTTCGTCCTTGGCGTCGCCACTCATCAACAGCTCGCCACAAGCTGCTCTGCGGGTTTATTAATATAATATCAGCTCATTTTTTCTTGGAGTGTAGAGAAAAACGTAAAGACACTAGCGTTAGATGGTCGCGAACATTAAAATCATTGTAGCAATCAAACTGGGATATATACGTATGACTAAAAAGCTGTTATTTTCGCCGCGAGAAAAACACTGTAATATATAGGGTATAAAGATATTTGTATATATGTATAGTAGAGTATGAATTATAATTATTACATGACTGTATTTCAATTCTACAATATAAATAGTTAGTAAGGATATTTATAATAGTTTAAATAATTGATGTACCAAAAAACCGTTATTTATATTATTAGCATAGCATTAAGAAAAAATAAGGTCAAAGGGCCTATCACGCTGTCACGCCCACCGCATTGTATCACGCTGAAATGACGTAAAGTGACCTATATTGTAAAAATCGATTCTTCTTAAGGGCTCAAAACCTAGCACATCAAGTTTGGGGATTCCCTGATATATATATATATACTAGCGAGTTACCCTTGCTTCGTTAATATATAAATACTAGCGAATCACTCTATTTATTGCTGAAAACTGCATTAAAATTTGTTGAGTAGTTTAAAAAAATTTAAGCAAATAGACAGCGGAAGCGGTTTCATTTTATACTATGTAATGATGTAAATAAACAACTACTTCGTAACACAAGACAGACGTAATGATAATAGTGTAATATCGTCCAAAATGATTTCGGTTATGGCGCCATCTTCACGGTAACTAGCCATGTACGCAGGAGATATTGTGGTGAAGTAGTATATGCGCAGACATACATAAGTACACTGTCTATAAACCTCATATTACGTCGGTGCAACGACAATTAAAATAAAGACTTAAAAAAAAACAAAACCGACTTCCAGGCACTAAAACGAAAAAATATCAAAGTCGATGCAAAGCAAATCTTATATATTTCGATACGTAAAATACATATTTAGCTATTAGATATTCATATCTTAAAATATTGTCGGCTGGCACCGACTTCGAAAATATCTGATTAGGTATTCTATTCTAAATGAAAACCCCCGTTTAGTTATTTTTTTCATTTTAGTGCCTGGAAGTCGGTTTTTTTTTTAGTTTTTATTTTTACATTTTTAGTGTAGACATAATAAGCAGGTAATTTGTAAGAAGAAAGTTTTTTAATAACATATTCGATTAAACAATTTATTTAAAAAATATATTTATTGTTGACTTTTTAAAAAACGATTTCGATAAAATTTATATGGGATCACCTGGGAACCTCTGAACCCTTTGAAACAAAAAAAAAATTCCAAATCGGTTCAGGCGTCTTCGAGTAATTGGTGAACATACATAAAAAAAAAGGAAAAAAGATTCCGACGAATTGATAACCTCCTCCTTTTTGGAAGTCGGTTAATAAGTAGTGAGAGATGAACCGGCAACACTCTAACTAAAGGATGCTGCTGAATGCGAGTATTTCGTAATAGAAAAATGTAGGAATTATTTTAGTCCGCAACGAGACTCGGTATAAATAAGTATAATTTGATAATGCGACAGTTCCGGGAACTTTGTCATTTAAATTCAAATGACAAAGGATACCTCGTGGGATATTGCATAAAAATTAATGTGTACTATAATTCACTACTATGCCTTAATATTGAAGTACATTTACGTTTATTACCTGTATTGTTTACTTGAGCTCGCAATTGCATTTCAAATACAGTTTGCGGTTTGGAAATGAAGAAAGCGTTGTAAAATATATTTATCTATACATATAATGAAATTCTAACTAAGTCGAATGTACAATAAATATTTTTTGAAAAATCTTATTGAAATAGACATTATTATCGATACAGAGGCTGAGTCTATAGTGTTTAGAATTTTTATCTTTCTGTCTGTCTGTGACCGCATCACAGAAAAACTACTGGAGGGATTTTGATTAAATTTGGTATGGTCTCACATCTGAGAAAGAATACAAAAACTGCAATGTGAGTATACTAATATGTAAAACCTAAGAATTTGGTTTGGGTCATCTGAACGCGGGCGGAGCCGCGGGCAGTGCTAGTATTTTATATCCCGCTTTTCTTAAGCTCCAGCTTTCACCCGATCTCATCATTGTCCTGGGAACTTTTTCCTTTTCCAGAATAAGGTAACAACTATCACTTTCAACTGATCCACCTACCTAAGCATCAGTCAAATAAGCAAACACACGGACCAACAAGGATTTTTAACGGGTAATTGGATTTTGATATAGT